GGGCGCGGGCGTAGCAGTCGGGCTGCCTGCGGAGCATGCACAGACCACCGAGCATCTCGAAAAGTCGCAGTGCACTCGAAGGCCCGCCTCTCCAGCACCAGAGCGGTCATGCTGCTCCCACGAATATTCGCGCCAGTCCGCGCATCATTGGCAACGGCCACGACATTCATCGCGCCATCTACACGTGTTCTCGACGCCCTCCGCGTGGCCAATGGCGCCTCGGTGCCCACCCCGGTTCTCTCCTTCGTAAGGCACTCAGCGCATCAGGCCCAAGGACGAGCCAACGGAGCAAAAGATGGACCTGGTAAACGTTTAGGAGCAAAGAAGAGCGGAGGTATGTCCTACAGTTTGAAGAAGCAGTTAGGGGCCTGGCTAACGGCATCGTAGGAGAGTATGTCATTCCGGGAAACATCATCTTCCGACAACGAGGAACGGCCTGGTTTCCCGGCGAAAACTGCAAATTCGGCCGCGACCACTGCATCTTCGCCACAGAGTCTGGTTACGTACGATACTACCGTGACCCGAAGAAACACCCAAAGAGGCAATACATTGGTGTCGCCCTCGAGAAAGACCACACCCTTCCATACCCACCGAATGCGGCGAGACGGAGACGCTTAAATATGCTCGCCGTCCCTATCACTACATCAACGAATCCTTCTGCGGACGCAGTTGTCATAACCGATTTACAAGTTGGCGACGGCACAGGCAGCCCGAGCAGCGTGCGCGATACCCCGCGCGAAGCGACACGGAAGGGATTGAGCTTGACCGCTGGCAAGGGATACGCGTACCGTGAGGCCAACTGGCAGATTGGACGTGCGGCCGAGAAGGCGGGTGTGCAGGTCAAGGAGTTTGTGCCGGGTGACCGATGGACGGCCTGGAGGAAGAGGAGCACAAGGATCCAAGCCAACATAGAGAGGAAGAGGCTCCGGAATGCTGGAAAGAAGGCGAGCAAACCAAAAGCGAGGAAGGCGAGGGCCTAAGCAATGAGACGACATACTGCGGGTTGTATGAATACATGTGTAAACTGAAGATATACAGCCTTTGACTGGCGATCTACGAACACAAGAAGCGCCTATGTGAACAAATGATGAGCAGAGAATATGACATGACTATAACCTTGCAGAGTCCTTCCAAACCAAGCCCCCTTGGTCTTCGATATAATGTCTTCCCTTGGTCCATCCCATCCACGTGGTCAATGTATCTTCGCCCCCGCTGCCAGGCTTCAAGCCCTTCTCGCTCCATCCACTGCCATCCATTCCTATACCCTGGCCCTCTGCTGCCGACCTCCCATCATGACCGTCGTGTATCGCATATCCAGGTGAGGACTTGAGAGTTACAGCCGGCCGTTGATCGAAGCCCTGGGTCTCGAGTTCACCCTGCGTCAGCACGGGCGTACAGCATGCATCTGTTCCGTCGAAGATGGCCTCCCATTCCTGGCGCGTTTTCTTCTTGAACTCGGCGGCGAAGAAGTCCTTCAACTTTGGCCAGTCCGCCCTGTCGTCCCTATTACCAGGTAGATCCGACGGCTCCAGGCCCATGCCCTTGAGTAAAGCGGCGTAGAACTGGGGTTCAATAGCGCCTACTGCCATGTACTTTCCATCCTTTGTCTCATACGTATCGTAGAATGGTGCTCCACCATCTAGCATATTCGTGCCCCTCTCCCTCTTCCAGACCTCTGTCTTCAATCCCAACCTTGGCATAGTCGCCAATATCGCACTCCCGTCAACCATGTTCGCTTCGACAACCTGTCCATAGCCACTCCTTTCTCTCGCCAGCAGCGCAAGCAATATACCCATGAAACACATTGCGCCGCCTCCCGCAAAATCTCCCACGAGATTGCCAGGCGCATACGGTTTTTCCCCTTTTCTGCCAAACATGCTCAACACGCCGGATACAGCAATGTAGTTGATATCGTGCCCTGCCATTTGACTGTATTTGCCATCCCGACGGAAGCCCGTCATGCGAGCTACAATCAATCGCTTGTTCAACCTCAATAGCACCGTTTCAGGGTCGAGCCCGGCTTTCTCGAGGACGCCAGGCCGGAAGGGATCGATTACCACGTCGACTTGAGGGATGATCTTCTTGATGAGGGCGAGGCCCGCGGGCGATTTGAGGTTCACGCATATCGAGGTTTTGCGCCGCGTTAATTGATCGGAGGATGGGGCTGAGGGTGCGCGGTCGAGGCGGAGGACTGTGGCGCCGTAGTCTGCTAGGAGCATGCCCGCGAAGGGGCCTGAAGACTGTTAGATAGAGCCTAGGGATTATTTTGCGAAGGCAGTTTGAGGTTACCTGGGGCCAGTCCTGCAAACTCGAGGACGCGTACGTCCGCGAGTGGAGGTGGTTGGTTTGCTGACGGCATGACGAGGTAGCTGGGAGTAGTATACTACTTGGGACAATTGAAAGGATGCGCGTGAAGAGAGAAAAACGCGAGCTTAGTAGTAAACATGCTCGACGTCGACATTGTTGGCCGTTGCGCCGGCTAAGGACTCCCGCGGGGAAGCATGCTCTGGAAGCCGAGGTGCGGATGTGGAGAGCTTGAAAGCTGGGGTAGTAGCTTCATCTCTCGCGTTTGGTCTGTTTGTCTTTACACGCGACCATCACGACGAGTCGATAGATTCCTCGCTCTCAATGTCTCAGAACGACCTCGGGAGTTGAATAAGTCATGACCTATCATCCCATAATATATCATGGCGCGCTTCGCCCCGCTCTTCCAAGGTGCTATAATTGCTAGCATTAGGCACCAGCGCGCGTATGCCTTCGTGAGCGGCTCTTCAAGGTCCGATAGCTCTGTAGAAGTCGCGGAGCTGTTCTTTCAAACGCTGGACGAGCGTGGCTTCCTTCCAAGATTCACCCGTGCTCGACCACATCATGCCTCCCCAGTTGAGAGCGCGAACGTCTCGCATCAAACCTCAATCTTACGCTCTTTCTTCCAATTCCTCTTCCAGTCAAAGTCACCTCCTCATGTCTGAATCAACCGCGCAATCGACAAGCAATACACCTTCAATCTACACCATCAACCTTTCACTACCGCCACGCGAACGCTATGTGTTGGTCGCCACCGAATACGCCCATGTTCTGCGCAAGATGCCGTGTCTCTACGATGAGGCAGTTCAGCACTTGAGGTTGCCTACTGGAGTTTTCCATCTCGTAGGCCGTCTGTTCCTGCGTCGTCTTCACAGCGACGAACAGACTGAGGAACTCAGGGGCATTAGCGAAGCATCTGGCGTGCCAATGTACTTACTCGTCGCTTATAATGTCTTCCTGGACCTTCTCATGGGCTGCACGAGTGGCGGCGTCATGGTAAAGGATCCCGAAGCCGAGACAACGATGATGCATTTCCGAACGCTAGATTGGTCTATGCCTCTCCTGAGACAAGCAATTGTGCAATTCGATTTCATCGAGGGTGTGGGCGGCGAAGTGATAGCGAGTACAATTGGTTACGTTGGTTTTGTGGGTGCACTTACAGGTGTAAGGAAGGGATTGAGTGTCTCACTCAACTTTCGACCCTATCACAACGCCCGGGGAATTTCAGGACCTAACATCAGATATTACTGGAACACTCTCATGGTGCTTCTGGGGAAGAGACCGAGCATCTCCACCCTCATACGCGATTGCCTTCTGCCCAGGTCAGGCGCACCTCGCAGACGGCACAGGCTTTCCAAGAAGTCTTTACAAGAACGAAGAGATCCGTCATCTGCACTAATTCCGCCATATAATGCATCTGACGCACCCAACATTATTGCAACTATGCAGACATCAGTGGCGTATTTGATCTTCTGTACCAACGCAGAGACCATCATCCTGGAGAAAGACTTCCACAGCGCAAGGATTTTACGCTCATCAACCTTTATCAGCACCACTAATCACGACGTATCGTTGGAGTCTACAGTCAACCCGCACGCCCATCAGAATCAGGCCGTCCATACCCAGGGCCGGAATCACAGCTTTCTCAATGCTGGTATGCAAGAAGTACTTGAAGAAAGCATCATGCGAAAACAGTGTCTAGAGCGAAAATGGCGAGAGTGGACCCAGGAGCAGGGCCGTAAAGCGAAGCGAGGGCAGAATGCAGCAGTAGGCGTGAGTCCAGAGAAACTCATTAAATGGTTGAAACAGTACCCGGTGTGTAATGAGGTTACACACTTTGTCTGTGTCATGGATCCAGCAGAAGGGATGTTCAGATGGGTGCGGGCTTTTGAGGAGGGCGAGATTCCGTTTCAGGGTTGATATCAGGCTTGTTGGCTGTTCAGGTCACTTGTAAATAATAGCACTTCTCGATCAAGAACATGGGCTGTTCGCGTCTATCGTGTTGCTAGGGGTGCAGGCCTCGGCTCACGATGGATGCGGGAGCTAATACTAATGCGGTTTGCCACCGTTTACCTTCCCGTTCCTGATGGTTCTGCAGTTCTCTCAAACTTCAGACACCGCCCACTTCCGCGACCTATTGAGTCATTAGTCGATTATGCCAAACTTCAGGTGGTTCTATTGAATGACCATTACGGTGATAGAGCACCGAAGATGCGACGCACGTCTAGATGGCAACGCACAAGAGATCCAGGACCGGCTGTTGGACTTGTAGGGGGGCTGGATATAAGTGTGACGAGGTGAAGCCTTTTTGTGGGCGTTGCACAAGACTAAATATCATCTGCAGAGGCTATGGAGTCAAGCTGAAATGGCAGGACGACGCCGCTAATACATTGGCAAAACCACCACGGAAGAGTCGGAAGAAGAAGGCTATCGACGATGACCAAGCACTCAGCCCAGCGTCGAATATTAGCTTCGAATCCATACAATCGGCAGTTACGAGTCCAGATGTACTGTTCTCATCGCCTGACTCGGCGAAAAGTATGCCTGCTTTACCCATCAACAGCCCTGTGCTGTCCTATGGGATATCTCCAACCGATCGATGGCTCCTTAATTATTGGGGAAAACAACTCTCAAAGCTGTTATCAGTTTCACCTCAAAATGGCATCGCGACACCATTCCAACGACATTTGACGGCCATGGCCTACGAATCGCCAGCACTTAGATCGACAATCCTCTCAATGGCTGCAAATCATCTCGCATTTGCATCAAACGATGCTTCACTTCACCTACAAGGCTACCGTCACCAACGAGACGCAATCCAAGAGCTTCAAAAGATGATTCAGGATCCAGTGAAGATGGATACTGAGCCAGCGCTGGCCACTGTCATGATGATGCAGGTTTCGGCGCGGTTGTTTGGCGATGAGGATGAAGGGAACATCGCGAACCATCTGACTGGCGCCAAAGCCATGATAACAGGGCGCAGTGTAGGTAGCTGGCTTGTCACATCTAGTGCTCGCTTCCTCCTGAGCCTGTTTGCATATCACGATATTCTATCTTCCGTGTCAAGAGGCTCGCAGCCATTATTGGATCATGAAATGGACTTTGTCGCCATCGAAGGGGAGATACAGCTAGAAAGTATCGCAAAAGTCTTAGTGGTCGTTGCAAAGATCAGTCAGCTGCAACACGCTATCAAGACGAGAAGAGTCCTATCGCCAACAAGTCCTGCTTTGTCGGAAGATGAAAATACCACTGGTCAGCATATCCAGCAGATTCTATTAGCCATGGAGTTCGTTGCATGTAAGAGGGGGGACAGCGAAGAGCGCATAGACATTAGCTTGACAGCTGAAGCCTATCGCCACGCCGCCTTCATTTACCTCTACCGAACCTGGCTTGACATAGGTGCCCCCAACCCGATAAGCATGGAGCATATCAATCAGTGTCTAACACAGCTACAACGAGTCGATATTCACTCGCCTCTAACCTCAGCACATATGTGGCCGCTGTTCACCGCGGGCTGCGAGGCGATCGACAGCACACAACGCCAATTCGTCCGTGATCGATTCGAAAAGCTGTATGCTGTAAAGCATTTCCCCAGCTTGAAACGCGTCATGCGCGATATCGAACATGTTTGGGCAGCCAAGGACATGGAACAACAGATGAAAGGTCAAGATGGAATGGCCAAGGTTGACTGCATACAAGTCATCCTGAAAAGAAGGGGGCGGGAGGTCGATCTTGCGTGAGGATATGCCTAGCGACACTAGGGGCAGCTACAATTTGTGTCGCATCTTACAAGAAAAGCTAAAGGAGAAGTACACACTGTCTTGCATACTGCCTACTTGCCAAGAAATAATAGCGTATAGGCAGCAAACCCTAGAATGCGACACAAGTTCTAGCCAACCCTAGTGGTGCATGCGGATTCTCTTGCGCACAGACAAATGACCTATACGTCAGGCAAATCTCAAGTGCAGCAACCAAGCACTCGCGCCGCACGGTATAAATACTGGTGCTTCTCGGCCTATACTGCATCCATGATACATTCAACGAACTCGACCACACTTAACTAGCCACAATGAACAGCCCGCCCTCCATCTCCCACTTAGAGGCTCTGCCCGCAGAGCTCTTCAACCGCGTTCTGAGCTACGTGTTAAATCCTTACGATTGCGAGATCGAAGAGTCCAACACCACATTCGGCGGTTACCACTTCGAGACTTCTCTTCTGCGAATCAGTAAGAATATCCATCAGCTTGCAAAAAGCTATGTGCATCACGCACTGTCTTGGGTACGGTTCGACATCAACTGGGGCGCTCTCGCAATTCAGCCCCACTGGCTTGGTGTAAAATACATCAATATTCGCCATGTCAAAGCCGCCAAAACACTTCCGGACGGATACCTGAACCTGAGTCTGAGGCCCGTACCTCAGGAAGCTCCAGCTGGGCGTTTGCACGTCAAGATAGAGCTACCAAGTGCTAGCAACGATGCCCAGGAGAAGATAACACGCATGGTTAAGAGCAATGCAAACACCTCAATGTCACTGCTAGTACTTGCGAAAGACTTAGCTGGCTTCATGAAGGCACTTCGCATCAACGACCTCATTTATTGCCACCGCAACTTCCCGGGAACTCCAATTCCCGATGGTATACGTGCGCGTCGCGGTGTTCATGGCATGAAATCTGAAATCGTCGTTGCGCGCGGCCAACAGCTACAGCGCTATCAACATCCCATCTTGGAGTTATAAGTCATGTGGAGTACCCTCCACAAGACTACCATTGCTGGACACGCAGACAGCCACCTTGCTAAGTCTGTGGACTTTATACAGGGGCAGCATGAACATCAAGCACGAGAATCAGTCGGTTTCTCGAAAACGGATATGAACGCTAAGATGTTTATGGAGCTTATGGGAGAAGGCATATCGACTCTCCTCTGGCTTAAGCACCGAGGCGACGAGTATCTTACAAGAGGCTTATACTCAAATGCTTACATGTGCTACTCGAGCGCATGCACTCTCGAACAATATTGGCTAAAGATGGCTCCACCACCTGCTGATTTCACCTTCTGGACACTTGATAGCTGCCTCTATGTCACCTTCGGAGTGACGTGAATGTACAATATGGCAATCGCGAAGATGAAAGGGGGCTTGGACTTTGTTGCTGCACATCCTCGTGGCACATCAATGCGTGGGTACTACGGTATGCTCGCCATTCTCAGCGGTGGTGGTGGACTTCTTGATGATCAGCGCTATGCGGAGCTAAGCATGGTATCGATGCTCTACGAGCTCTTCACTGAGAATTTTGACAAGGGCGATCGATTGTTCGACATTGTTGAGGAAATTTGGGAGGATGCCGACATCATCGATGATCTATCGTCGGATCTGGGTCTCCTGTACGACACTGTCAAAGAACTCGACAATGTAGACCGTACACCCGCTTCTGACCCTGAGAATCTTGATGGACTGAAGGCATCAGTAGCAATTGGCTTCGCCAATGTTGCGCCGCTGAAGTGGGCGGTCACCGAGAATAACTTCCCGAAACCATTGCGAGAACTTGTTCAGTTCCTACCACGGGCTCAACTCTTGCCGGACGGTGCTGTGGAGAATCCTAGTGGCTATAGCTTTGAGATCTCAGTGTACTGCCAGCCAACTGATGAGCAGCGCATCAATGGAGAGGATCACCCGAGGTATCTCGTGTAAGGAATGCTCGAGGGTATTCTATATATGTAAGCCTTGTGTATAAGACACACGTCGCTGTTGACATGACGTACAGGCAGGATGCTTGAGCGTTCCAACCTAAAGTTACCCAACAAAGCTTATTGAGGTCTTCTGTGTCTAAAGGTTGTGATTTCTCATCGTGCTTTGGTTCGAGGCTGCCCAGATAAGCCCTAGTCGCAGAACCACAAGAGATCATACCTAGGTATCTCGTCAATCGCCCACATGCGCGACGGCGGCGATTACAGAATATACGCTTTGATCACTCGGAAGCTGACGAGATACATCGACATAATAGCAGACTGCACGTCAAAGATACGCACGCCGGTGATAGCACCCGCCCGTGAGGCGCAACAATACGACGAGCGCGACAATTTGGTGGACTATCCTGCAGATGGCCATATAACTACCATCCGCAAGTTCGAACAAGCATTGCAAGCTCTCGGTCATTCGAGGTCTTATCTGCTCAAAAATCACGATGATCATGGGTTGTGTATGTACCGCTCCTATGACACCGCCTGCGCAACCGAAAAAATGCGCAGCCAGCTCTAATGGATCGCTTGGTTCCTTCTCCGCAGCGCTATATCGCAATCACCCAATAGGTAATCTCGGGTCGCATCGATACAAGACGTAAAGATGCGGGTGAGATGGGTGTTGAACTGTCTGATGGTGCGTGAAGAAACAGAAGGGAGGCCGGGCAAATTTTCGATGTTATCGAGATTCTGCTTGGCGCGCTAGTCCGGGTAGAGATTGGCGCCGACTGTCTTCCCGAGGGGTCTCCACTTAGGGCCCCTTCCCAGCCACTTTCAGACACCTGCAGAAAGATCAGGTCCATGGTGAGCTTTGTGGCTTACCCCGCGATTCTAATCCTCGACGATGGGAAGAAGAACGGCTGAGCTTCACACATCAAACGCCTGTCTGCCGACATGGACACGCAATCTATCCCCGCAAGGAATGTGGCCAGTAGAGACGCAAGCATTGAATACATCAGCGACAACATCTTTCAATTGACACTCACCCCAGAGAACAAAGCGGAAGTATTTGAGCATGGCCTTTCCAAGCTCGACCAAGGTCAAGAGGAGGCCAGCCTCATCCTTCGGAACTTGTCCTCATGGTGTCCAGATGTCGCTGCTCAGTTTTCCCAACGCTCCACTACCACCATCTTGAAGACACCATTCCGTCTGGTCTTTCCTTCAGACGCTCGGGGGGCTTTCGACAAAGACCTGTATCCACGACAGTATTTCGCGATCTCTTATTGCTGGCATTCAGGCGACTATCCGAACCCGAAATATGAACCGCACGATCGTTGGCCTTTCAGCAAACCCTTTGTGGATGCCATTCTGGGTGAGAAAGAAAACCCTCGCATAGGACTTTGGATTGATCAGCTCTGTATTGACCAGGAAGATACTCTCGACAAGCAAATGTCTGTTGCTGCCATGGATGTGATTTATCGATCATGCATGCGTCTGCTGGTTCTGTTAGAAGACGTGAAACTGACTGAGGCGGAGACGTATCTCGTGGAGAACTTCGAAATCTCCAACATACAGTGGCATAAGTCATGGCTACCTGAGCCGGAGGTCAGACCACTCTATCTGTCTTTCTACAAAAAGATCAACGCAGCGAGATGGGTACGTGAAGCTTCCAAGAAGAAGGGGATCCTGGGCCACACGCTGATTTGCTCATTCTTACCTTGCAGTGGGATCGTGCCTGGTGCTTTCATGAATTCAACGTCAACGAACCATGGAGCGACAAAAGGCAGCGATACAGGAACCACAATGCGACGTTCTTCATGAATGGACCGGGTGATTCCATAGTAAAGATGAAGTGGGTAAATCTCCAAGTCATCATGTCTACAGCGATAGACTTGCCGTCTCACGAGAACGATATCACATTAAACGCCTTCAAGGGCCGAGAAATATTCTCGGGCTTTGCTAACCAAGGCGGACCTCCTACAGCGACCATGAAATCGAGTATCATGGCCTCTCATAACAGCGTAGCTCGAAAAGGCTGTCAGAATCTTGGAGACCGCATCAGCATCATGATAAACATCAGTGGGCGTGCTCTCGCATACTACGGCGAAGCATTGAACAACAAAGACGAGGTCCTGTATCTCAGTGCACTGCTAGCCCTCACGGCAGGAGAGGCGTACCCACTCAGTATGACGGACCCCACATCGATCAGACTCATGGGCAATAAGACGTGGCTGTCGCGAAGCCTCGGTACTGGCGATACTATCATTCCAAAATTTCCCCTTGGAAGTGTGCAGGGCATCCGGCAGATCTCGACCGAAGTCATCAAAATCGACATGATTTTTGTTCAGATCCTCAGTACACCAACAGATCACAGCTTCGAGCTGGACGCTGTTGGCCAAGTGTTTCCTGGCACCATACCAACTACAGAGCCGGCAAAGTATGCCGCTGATGCAAGCAAATCGCATTTACCTGCCGCCCAGACGGACAGCGAATGCGACGAGCACCGACGGAGGTTCATCGCCACTTGTATCAGCAATGGTATTCAGTTTACCGCCAATCTATGGGAGCAGCTCAAACGTGATGTTGTACATCCCAACTACAACCAAGGCATTTTCAGAGATCTGCAGCCAAACACTGCCCTGTGTATACCAGCACAAAGGTTTTTGGACCAACTACAACGAGATGCAAGTCCAGAAACGTTGGAGGGTACTGCATTTGACGTGGATGAGGCCAACATCTTCTTGACCTGGGTAACCGATCCTCGTTCAATGTATTACATTGGCTCTCTTTCATTCCGCTTGCAATGCACCATGGATGGGCGTCAGGCTCTCATAACTATCACAAGCATTAAGGAAGACTGGAAAGATGCCAAGCTTGAGGAGCTGCAAGCTGCAATCCCTACCGATTTGCTTAACGCGAGTTGCATGACGTCGAGGATTTGGATTCTGCAACCATTGGAGATCGATGAAGGCGATGTGTTGAGATGGAGAATCGTGGCAAAAGCGCTGCTGCTCGGTGAGCCGAATTTGGTGGAGGAATTGAGACTGCACGGTAATCAACACGATGCGGTGGCAGCGTTGAAGGCGGACGCATGCGTGGGTGGTTAGGCATGTTATGGGCCTATGTACCGAGGTTGGTGCGTAGCGCAGGACACCGGACTTGCTGTCGCTAACCTTGGAAGTATTGCGAGCTCCATGAGACCATCAATATACTCCCAGTACCATCTTTACGGGCAGTTTACTTCGCTCCGGCGCACCATATGCTACATTTTTATCCAATGACTTGCTATTGTTATTGGTCATGCTAGCTGTATCATAGCGGACGGACGAGCACAGCTGCCTTTCTTGCTTATTCACGAGCCTGACAGGTAACCTACATTACTAATTCCCGCACGCCTCCCGGAAGCGCATCAATCGTCCATCCGAATTGTAACGATCACTATCACTCTATCCGAAAATGAAGTTCGCTTCCACGGAGTTCGCCTTCGTGTCGCCTGCTTTTGAGTGGCTTGTTCGCTTGCTGCAGCCTTGGGAATGACGCCCCTCCTGTGCGATTGCCCTGCAGGTTCATGCTCTCGGCATCGCCTTCAGCTCCTCTGCCACTTCGCTCCAGTCTCGCTATTGATATGGCGCCGAAGCCCCAATGTCGATGACATAAGTTTGTCGCCGCGCTCACTTATGCCTTGGGTATATATCAAGATATCGAGCTCTCTGTGAGGGCCACAATCACGGCCCGCAATCATCGCCATGGATCGCTCCACGAAACCAAGCTTCAACTTTGTGAACCTCACACACCCCGACGATCTCAAAAATGAAGAAACCCAACTGCGCATTCGACGTCTAGCTATGACTGAGGTTGGTAAAGCGAGAAGAAAACCCAGAACGAAGAGGGCGCGCAATGAAATCATCCTTGAGTTTCGGAATCCGTCTGAGAGTCGCATCGATATCGACCGGTTCGGTGGCGGTCAGCTTGATCCCTTCAACCCCTACCCCATTGAACTTGATGACTCTGATCGAGCCCTATTAGCGAACAGTAGGTGCATCCACTCGTTTTGGTCAGACTCTTTCCTGACTTGGCGTAGTCTTTACTACCGAAGACAGCAATCATCCTAGCCAGCTCCGTGGCTCCTGGTACCCCGTTGGACTCAGCGATGCGGCAGCTTTTCACAACATGCTTTCCAACTCGCAAAACTTCTTGTTCCAGAGGCGCAACGGATATTACCCTTCACAAGATGATGCCATAGCGTTGAAATATCACAACAAGGCGCTTCGCCACACCACCCAGATGATGAACGATCCGGCGAAGCGCACGAGTGATGAAGCTATAGGTGCTGTGGTTTCTTTCATGATCCACTTTGTAAGTCGCCCGTGTGACGACGATGGCGGCGAGGCTGACAATCTTCAGGCTCTATTGGGGAACTTTACCAGCAGTGATTGGCAGAAACATAGTAACGCACTAGTTAGAATAGTAGGACTCAGGGGCGGATTTCATACCATCGAGAAAGAGCACTTACGAGTTACGATCAGCTGGTCAGCATCTCCGGGTGAACCCAAGGCTTGATATTTGCTGACGCCTGAATAGGGCAGACCTCATAGGAAGCTTCTATCAAGACCACCCTCCTATTGTGCCAATGCCACGACAATGGATAGTGGACTCGAAATCTCCACCAAACTCCCCACGGACGTGTAACGGCATATCGTTAGTCTGGAAACAGGAGCTACCAATGCAGCTTCACTTTGTCACCATCTTTGATGATGTAGTCCAATTGATCTCTCTCGATAGAGCTTTCAACGAGGAACAGTTGATGCTTGCGATTACGAGCGGTAGCTGGCTGGAACCGACAATATACCGCCTCTTAGCTATACGTCCTCTAAACCACGGCAACGCCAGAGAGAACGTGGTCGAGGAGGTTTGTCGACTTGGAACTCTACTCTTCTTAGCACCAGTTTGGAGAAGTTTTGGTCAATCACCAGTATGGACGGCTGCTATATCGCGCAATCTCCTCCTTGTACTCACGAGGAACATGGTCGAATGGAACGATTTGAAGCCTTTACTCATCTGGGTGCTCTACGCCGCCGCAATCGAGACCAAGGATCTGGCAGAACGGAGCCAGTTCGTATTCATGCTTGGCATTCTGATGAGCGGCATGCAGCTCCAGGCGTGGAATGATATCATGTTGATTGTGAAAACCGTATTGTGGGTGGAAAAGGTTTTCGCAGGTACTGACGAGTTGATTCGCGACGAGGTTATGCAGATCGTCAACCACAATCCTATGAATATGTTCCCGGTTGAAACTACGCCGCCGCCAAGTTTCTTGGACGACTTTGCGGCGGAAACAGGATAGAGCTAGACTAGATCTGGAATGAAGACACCCTTGTGGCTGCAGCTACCAATAGCAAGACTTAGCATTGCTGCTTGACCTCGCTCTCTTACAGTCGTTGTATGTACAGTAAATGCCTACCACAACTGTAGGGAGCATACATAAAGCTGCCGTGAACGATCAATACTTACAGCTGCCCTCTACCTAAGTATAGATTTGCATCTAGGGTGCTCTTGTGATTTGCATACGGCTATCGTGGCAGATTGGTCACCGGAGGCCCACGGAAGAAATTGCAACTGACCAGAGGCACACGCGCTATCATGCCATAGCAGTCGAAAGTTTTGTTCTTTAGCCAGGGAGTGCCTAAGTAAAATAATATGTATGTGCTGCATGACTTAAAGAATTACATCGTGCTGATAACTATATGTACTCTTGCACAGTCTATGATCTTGGTGCCCTTCCGTTGTAGTCCATTCCCGGCTCTACTGTATAATTTGCGAAGCAGTCATAATTGAAGTCGATTTCTGCACTGCGTTTTTGGAGGAGCTCGACAACGTGGTCGAAAGAGCAGAGACCGTTTGCATCAGCGGGACATCCTGGATGAGACTCATTGATCGGGACAACGGCGTCATTACTGATTGACCAGGTTAGCTGTGCATCGAGTTTCGAAAGAAAAGAGAATACGTACACAATGAATCTGATCTGCTTTGTTGGTTGCATAGCAGGGCAAGAAAGAACCTGAGTGGTGAAGTGGGTGGCAAACGGCACGAGCTTGCTAGCTACGAAGCTGTTTTGCCCTTCATTACCAAGAGGACTCAGCGGTGGGCCTTTGAACAAAGCCGTCAAGTTGAACGCAGTGAGTGTATCAAGGACGACAACTTCGTGCGTAGCATCGGCATAGATAGACTGGTCGAGCGGGAAGTATGTCGAGGAGTTGTCGAAAGTCTCGTTCAGCGCGGAGTTAGCGCCGGGATACTGATGGGTGAAGCGTGCGATGAATTCGTCTAGGAAGCCTTTGCCTTGAGCAGCAGACACAGGGGATCCTGGGCCGTTGTTGTAGTAGAAGGACAGATCGAAGTAGTACTCATAATTCAGGAAGTCTTGTTCGTTGAAGAGATCGCAGAAGGCAGAGTAGCCGAGAGCGTGTGTCTCATACGAGCAAAGTTGGAGCATAGCGACGGCGTCGGTGGAAGTAAAGTTGATACCGCTAGCCTGCGACTGCAGACGAGCGAGAGTGGCGTTGAACGCGTTGTTCGCAAACTGAGCTGCTACACGGCTACCGATACTGCCTCGGGTCGCAATGTTCGAGTTGTTGCAGATTTCGTATGGTGCGCCGGAGTTGTTCACGCCTAGAGTCTCAACAAGCAACTCAATGTTGACCTCGTCCATGTACTCGGGTACCCCAAAGAAACCGGCAGCGAAGTTTTCCGCAGTCTTCACCATCCGGTCTTGGGACTGTGTTCGGAAGACCGGAATGGTGCCCGCTTCAGTAAAGTTGTTCAAAAGATGGCCATACAATTGGCGGTACTCAATACCCAATAGGAAGTTCATGCTGCGACCCGACGGTGTTAGGAGCTCGGCGCCCAACTTGTATGTCCAATCGCTCAGGAAAGAAAGCTCTCCAGAGACTGCAAGACCAGTTTTCGTAGCGTTCGCAATTTTCTGAGCAAAGGTAGCGGGCGCAGCGCCACTGGTTGGGTATCTAGCGCCGTGACGGTAGAGCAGATGCATCTGGGTGATGTCGCAGCCATCCGGGATCAGAGGGCTGGCATCAGGAAGACCGTAGTCTGCGCTGCGAACCGAATACCATGGGCTCAAGTTACCCCAGTATTTTGTGATGTCAAAGTTTGGAGACTGCGAGCCACTGCCATGGGGCTGTGGCTTGATCAGAGGGTATGAAGATGCATCGCCATCGTTGTAAGGATACGACGGTGCTGTTTGGATGGCATTCGGCTCAGCGCCTGTGGGGGTCGCTGATGATTGTTGCGTTAGTTTAAAGACCAGAGCTCAAGGAAATATTGGTGACTTACGGCCAGGGAAGCCGACGACAGATTCTGGCGGGAAGAGTTCGGAGTTGACCTCGGCTATACAATCAACCCATCAGCATTCCGCTCTCTGCGCAGCTTCAATCAGACTTACTGCCAGTGGGAGGATACACATCTGCACTGCTTGCGCCTGCGTTTCCAGCTGCCGAAATTGTCGTGGTTGGTACAGCTCCAACCCTTGCAAGGAGGACAAGCAGTGCGCCTTTACGGGCGGTGTTGGTCGTGATGCGCATCTTAACAATCGCAGAAGCCTAGGTCTCTCAAAAGGTATGTATACCAAGGAGAACAAGCTCCGACAAGCTTCGATGCCCAGCAATGTGGGTGTCCCAGAGACCCATCTTATAGTCCCCAAGCCCTGCAACGGTGGAGAAAGGCGTTAGAGTTGGGCATTTCGCTACCGAAGGGATACACGCGGCTCGTAGTAAGCGTCGCGCAACCAATGGGATGCGGAATTATGAACACATGCGTTGACCAATACTTCGGTAGCAGGGATGCCATCACTTCAATGACAGCACTGACGTTTGCGGGATGCAGATATCACGGTACCCAGGTACTCATGCGGTAAAGCATGCATTGGTGCGGGGGACCTTTGCAGCTGCTAAGTCCTGGTCCACGATGACGGCGTTGGACTATGCTGCTTTGGGTGCCGCACAACGGCGTTCTTGTCCACCTTTGAGCATATCGACAGGAGCACGTGGCTGGCAGGTTTATGGTGACGAAGGGCTCTTTGTAGCAAGATACGCGTTGAGGAAAAGTGTTCAGGCTACATTGATGCGGAAATAACCCGGCCAGAGTGAGTTAATCGGTTTCGTCATCACATACGAGTCCAGTTCGCTTCCTCTCGATGTTGACGACAAGGGCTGATATTGTCATTACACGTCCACAGACTATTTATACATGAAATCGAGAAGACCCCCGTTCTCGCCAGACACAGCAGAACTCAAAACGCCAGTGCCAATGCCGATGTATCGATGAGACGCAGCAAATTAAACACCGCCCAGAACGACTGATATGAAGACCCCGGTACCCACCCATAACTACGATCTCATCAGTCATTAATATGTGATCCATCGACGCCGAACACAAAGAGAGGAAGGTAGCATCCAAGCCGCCATATAGCGCGTGAGCAACGCGACAACGCCTTACAAGCAAGAAAGGAACAAGCGCAACAAGCTCAAAAACTCAAACTCATGTCTGTTCAACAACACGGAGAAAAGAAGAAAGCACTAAGCGATAGGCCATCGAGTACGCAATCCTTGTGTCCATTGCCCGTAGAGGATGTCGGCCAGTATCCCCTGCTGCTCCATACCAGGCTCGACGTAACCAGGCAGTTTCTTCTCGTCAAAGTAACCGTGGCCATCAGCCCCAGAGCCCTTCTCGCCGACCACGAAAGCGCTCTGGCGGCGTTTGTGGGACTTGAGGTGAGGGTTGTTCTTGGCCATTACGAGCTTTGGTCCCTTCAGCGGAGAGCCCGAGTTGGCGAGCGGTGTCCCATTTCGTGTCGGTGTCGATATCGGAGTGTGGTCATACTCCTCTGAAGACTTGCTGACGGTCGATGTAGCTGCACTCGTAGTGCTCGACCGAACACGTGTTGTGCCTGTGCCATGCACGGTCGTACCACCCAGGCTAGTGTCGCTGGTTTTGGTGTTGTGCTTCAATGGCGATTGCGCGGGCGAGACTTCTATGCCGAGAGCGTACGCAAGCTTTGTGTCGTTTTTGAGGCGGTCCACCATAGCCTTCAATAACATGAATTCGCCATGTGGGTCGATTTCGTCAAGATGCTGCCAGGCCTGCGCAACTCGTCCGATAGCGTCGCGTTGATGGGGCGATGCTGTGTCAGCATGTGCCTCTTGGAATACTGAGTCCAGGACCTTGCTGTACGCTCGGCGACCGTATAACGCGTCTTTGGTGATTGGCATGTGTCCATCGGGAGCAGGTGGCTCGTTCTCGTTGTTCATGTCCAGTGGATGGTTAGACGTGGGAGGTGATGGGCGGAAGGTGCGCGCTTCGGGGTTCGGCTGGAAAGACTGGTTGTTCTGAGCAGGCGGATTGCTAGGGGGGTTTGAGCGAAGTGCTGCGCGACGTTCGCCCGACGAGACGCGCTTGAAATGTCGTACGGTCGATGGCGAGTTTCCAAATGTCAGATCGACACCCAACGGCGACTTGTTGAGATTGCTGACGCGACGAGCGGTGGGTGTATCGCCAGACGGAACGCGGAAAGCCGTGGCTTGGGAAGTTCTCCGAGAGGATGGACGTCGTCGTGCTGGGAGTGGTGAATCGGTTATGTCGCCCAAGGGTGCTGCATTGAGGTCCATCCGTTGCATCATGGATTCGACTTCATCGTTGCCTGAGGAGGGTATACGGGCCAGTTTGCGACGCTGTTTCAACGTCTGGCGTGCTTGAACGGTCCCTCGCTTGACGGTATCAAAGTCCCAATCGTCTTCCTCGGCTCTGGGAGAGAGATCGACCCTGATGAACTTGTTAGCATACTGTGTGAGAAAGTCCGGCGAGTTACTGACATGGTCTCTTCATAGTACTTGGGGTGCGATGCCGCTTGTTGTTCCCTTTGGGCGTCGTACATTTGCTTGCGCTCGACGAGCTCGCGCAATGCCTCGACCTTGCCCGCGCGTTGGACGAAGCGGTGTTTGAGGAGTTCCTTCGCGGTCGCACGTCGATCCGGATCCTTGATTAGACATTGTGCGATGAAGTCTTTAAAGTCTTTGCTCCATTCGTCGCCCTCCAGCCTTGGTGCAGGGTTCTTCGGAATCGTGAAGAGCACCTTCATGGGATGTGACCCAGCGTGTGGCGGTGCGCCCTCTGCCAACTCCATAGCGGTGATTCCGAGGGACCAGATGTCGGCTCTGAAATCATAGCCAGCCTCCTGGATGACCTCGGGTGCCATCCAGAAGGGTGTACCGACAAATGTCATGCGTTGCGATTTGATATTTGTGAGTTGTGCGGCGACACCGAAGTCGGCGA